TTGGTTTACAAAGACACGTCACTCACTCGTGGACAAGCAAGAGAATGAAAACAAAGGAATCAACATTTTTAAAAACACAACCGAGACATTACACCAGCTTTTCACGGCACTGAATATGCTGTTCTAAAAGTCATGTCTCAAGTAAAGTTACGTTTTTGCTATTAGGACTGCGGTTTATCGAGTTCTGGGGATATATCGATATGATTCCCCAAAGCGAATGCTTAATTATGCTATATCCTTTTTATCTATATGGTTTGAGGCCACAAGTGCAAATTCTGCGCGAAACAGACCATTCCAAGGTAGGTAGCAAGCGAGCTCCACTTGCACAAATGAATAATTCACTCCATGAGTCATACAAAAGATTTGTTCAAAATTAACGAATCGTTCAAGAAGGACCCATCACTGACCTGACAAGGAGGAACATGCAGTGCAGGTGTGGTGAGAAATTTATCTGACTCCCCGGACAGATCTGACTCCCTCTTGCGTGCACACAATTGACAGCAAGAACGAACATAGAAGCCTTGTCAAATTGAGAAACACCTGACAAAAGAATTAAAAACGCCAAAATGGGAGGAATATATACTGTATTTCGAAAGTGAAACCACCTCATATTCACTGATTATAAGTTCAGTATTTATTACATGATGGTCTTTTCTTTACATTTACGTTATAACACATTTAGCTTTGCGTTCTGCTCTGTTATAATGACTGTTTACATTTATATGCTTATGTAATGGAGGCCAGCCAGTAGGTGCTGTGCAGGTAAACCTCACATACTAGAGGTCATGGTCTTTAGCCTCCTTGGTAGAGCAACCAACTTCGATGCGGAAGGTTGCTAGTTCGATACCAGCTCAGAGCGGGTTGGATGACGTAGGAACAGCGGGGTTACATTGGTGCCGTGGCCCGGATGGGAGTGAGGTTTAGGGCGGTGAGTGTAATGGAGACCAGCCAGTAGTTGCTTTGCAGGTAAACCTCACTCCTCTGACCTCTAAAGGTGCTCTAGCAACAAATGCTAGAGGCCATGATCTTTAGCCTCCTTGGTAGAGCAATCGACTCCCATGCGGAAGGTCACTGGTTCGATACCAGCTCAGAGTGGGTTGGGTGACATAGGACAGGTGGGGTTACACTTAACCAGCAATTCATCACAGTACACTGAAACACTTTCGTTACTTTTCATATCTACAGTCTATTTGTTTACATCTCCGTATATAAAATTTAGCAAAAAACAAGTTTAGTCAAAATAAAAGAAAAATTGTAGGATTTTTTAGATAGAGTAAAAGACTTATCTGTAGATATCTTGGATATGTGCAGTTTAATAATTGTGCACAGTTCGTACATGTAAATGTGTAACTCAAAAACATATACAGCTGATTTAATTGTTGTTTATAAATCAAACAACTGTGGTATACAGGATTACTTATGACACTGTAATTGTGACATAAAATACAGTGCGTTTCATATTTACATTCAATGTAGTTCTTTTCTATCCTACAATACTTTTTGTTGCGTTACTATTTAAGTCTGTTGCTTTTTTACTCTGACAATGTAGCTGTTTCCTATATGGTTCTGTTTACTTTGTTATGCACAACAGCAGAGTAGTGCTGTCTATAGTGTTAAGCAGCATTTATTTATCAAAGTGTTTTTTTTTTATTATTTGAAATGTTGTGCAACAGTTTTAAGCAGGAGAAAAACTTGTACTGTACTTTATTTATTAAAAACATTTGTGCAGATGTTATTTTTTGTGCAGCTGTTTATTAGTAAACAGAGACCCCTGTGTTTGAATTATATTCAGCTAAAAAAATGTTTAATAAAGTTTTAATAAAGGCTTTAACTGTCAATTATGGGGAAAATATCGGATATATATTGCATACCGTCTTTCCTCCTAAAAATACCGGGGATTTTTTGCCCATATCGCCCAACCCTATTTGCTATCAGAAAGTTATATTTACTTTACGTAATAACACAAAATTATTATTGCTATACACGATTATAAATGAAGTAATTTTACAGCAAAATTTGAATAAAAGCCAGGGGAAAATATTTTACTAGCTTTATCATCATGTAAAGTTTTGCAGTTTGTCGAAAATAAAAACAAACCATGTATGTATTCAATTAACGTTACAAATTAACATATAGTGAATTACTAGTAAACTCTTGAAGCTTACGTTTAAACAAACGGGTCGAGCAAGAGCCGGAAATGGTCCTTCAAAAATAACAGCTGACGTTTATACAAAACGGCAAAATTTAAAATAAAATTGAGAATAAAAAATAAATATCGAAATAATGAGTTTTAATATTTCACCACAAACTGAAAACTTCCCAATAATGTTTGCAGACAAATTGGTTAACTTACCGTTCATGAAGCTGACAAATCACCGTTAAACAGTTTTTTTTTTGTGTTTTTTTTTTTTTGAGATACTGAAAAAAACGCGCCAAATCAAACTCCAGTCAGCAGCGAAATATCCAAACTAAGTTAGTTCTGGTCAAGTCTGAGTATTATTACATGTGTTGCAGTGACCTCTAGTGGACACACGAGTGAAATATTACACTACAAATATCAAAATAACACGGTATATACATATGTTTACCTTTAATGCGCCAGACTTCCGGGTTCAGTTGTTTTTACTTGTACAAATAGAGCTTTATGTTGCTTGTAACCCAATGTTTTTCCTTCATTCATTATTAACAATGGTTTACAAGTTCATTTACTACACTTAACTTCTTTATGACTGAAGTTATTTAGAGGCTAATGAAATGGATATAGACAAAATATCCATCAGAAAACACACTATACTTTCTCACACACTATACATTGTCCCACATACACACACTATACGCTACAGATGAATTAATGAGAGACAATTGTGCTGGTAAAAGTTTTTAATACAAAATGACATTTAAAGAAGTGCCTGTAGTATTACAGCAGATCACACACACACACACACACACACACACACACACACACACACACACACACACACACACACAAACACACACACAGGTACAGACGCTTCACAGATCAAGTGAAAATGAATTTTACAAACCCTACAGGTTGTAACTTTTAAAACAAGGTTGAGGGACCTGTATAAACTGAAACACGTACAAATAAATGCCGAAATCAGAGTTTCCAATAGATGCTAAAATAATTCACTAATTCTATACAGTACCATTTGCGCACACACATACACACACACACTATACATTCTCTCTCACTCACTCACTCACTCACTCACACACTCTCACACATACAGTAGATTCTCTAGATTCTCACACACACTACATTCTTGCTCATAAACACTACACACACACACTCTAACGCTTACACACAAACACTGTATATGCTCTCTCTATCTCTCTCACACACACACACTATATACATTCTCACATACACACACTACATTCTCTCACACACACATACACACACTACATTCTCTCACACACACATACACACACTACATTCTCTCACACACACACACACACACACACTATATACATTCTCACATACACACACTACATTCTCTCTCACACACACACACACGCACGCACACGCACGCACGCACACGCACGCACGCACAAGCACGCACACACACGCACGCACACACACACACACACTATATACATTCTCACATACACACACTACATTCTCTCACACACACATACACACACTACATTCTCTCACACACACATACACACACTACATTCTCTCACACACACACACACACACACACTATATACATTCTCACACACACACACGCACGCACACGCACGCACGCACACGCACGCACGCACAAGCACGCACACACACGCACACACACACTATATACATTCTCACATACACACACTACATTCTCTCACACACACATACACACACTACATTCTCTCACACACACATACACACACTACATTCTCTCACACACACACACACACACACACTATATACATTCTCACATACACACACTACATTCTCTCTCACACACACACACACGCACGCACACGCACGCACACGCACGCACGCACACGCACGCACGCACACACACGCACACACACGCACACACGCACACACACACTATATACATTCTCACATACACACACTACATTCTCTCTCACACACACACACACACACACACACAATTCACACTTTCTAACAGACACAAACTATATTTTCACACTTGCAAACACAAACACTGTATATGCTCACACACACATTATACATTCTCACACTTACACACAATACATTCCTACACTTACACACACAATATATATATACACATGCTCACACTTACACACTGTATATGCTCACACATACAAACGCACTCACAATACATGCTCTCTCACACACGCGCACACACAACCCCCCACACAAACTATACATTCTCACACACACACACACTCACATGCACACAAACACAATATGCTCACACATACACACACAAAAGTCATACACACAATTTCAACCAAACACTAAATAATAGACAAACACACATACACTCTCTCTAACACACACACACACAATCACTAAACACTATCACACACGCTATACACTTATACACACTAGTCACTCACACACAGACAAGCGTACACACCCGAAAACATACACAAATCTCTCACAAACACTCTCCAATCTCTCCTCTCTCAATATTTACAATCACACAGCACAAATATAACAGCCCCCATATCTAAAAGTAAGACCCTCAGCTCTTCTCCCATCAGCAGAAGAGCGTTGTATCAGTCAGATGTGTCCCACCAATGAAACTAGCTTCTGCCATACACAAACAGGCTCCTGCTGCGTTCATCTGCTGCTGTAAACACACATTTCCAGTCATTTCCCACATTTCAGCCTTACAACATGAGCTAAAGTCAGCCATATTCATCACAAAATGACAATTAAAACCAATTCATCACAAAATTATTAATAAAAAAAATGCAGAAAATGAAATTAAATGAGAATAAAAACTAAAAATCCCAACGTTTTGTTGACAAAAATAATAAAACATTTGATCTTTCCGTGTTCCACATGCTTTAATTCCCACTCATTTATCCACAAACACACCAAAATCCTTCCCATAATTTCCCTCCGGCACACCTGTAACATACACGAGACCTTCAAAACACTTCACAGAGGCCCTCGACACACATCCCAAACCCTGGAAATAAAACGTAACAGCGTTCGACAAACACACATGGCGGATTTAAGCCCTTTTCAACATGCGAGATATGAATGAATCAAAAATGATCATTCACTATCATGCATTTTCACACAAAATACTGGAAAATTCCTGAACTTGTGGACTATTTGCAAGAAAAACTTGACCAAAAAGATAATAAGTATAAAAATCAACGTCCCGTTTTAATCCCAAATGCCGTATTCCTCAAGTTCACAGTGTTATTAAGACAATATCTATATAAATGTAAACAAACGGCCTTTCTAAATTCACCTGCTGTAAATAACAGTAACACACACACACACACACACACACTTTCCGGAGTAAATGCTTTCTTTGAAGCAGTGTTTCCCAACCACGCAATCAGCACTGCACATTTTCCATGTCTCCTTAATCAAACACACCTGATTCAGATCATCAGCTCATTAGCTGAGACTGAAAGACCTGTAACGGGTGTTTCAGATAAAGGAGACAGCTAATGCATGCAGTGCTGGTGGTCCTCCAGGAACGTGGTTGAGAAACACTGCTTTAAACTGTACAAATGCTTTCTTTAAATCGGTGCTTCTCAACCATGTTTCTGGAAGATCCCCAATTCTGCTGATTTTACATGTTTGCTCAACCAAAGAGATCATCAGCTCATTAGCTGAGACTGAAAGACCTGTAACGGGTGTTTCAGATAAAGGAGACAGCTAATGCATGCAGTGCTGGTGGTCCTCCAGGAACGTGGTTGAGAAACACTGCTTTAAACTGTACAAATGCTTTCTTTAAATCGGTGCTTCTCAACCATGTTTCTGGAAGATCCCCAGCTCTGCTGATTTTACCTGTTTGCTCAACCAAAGAGATCATCAGTTCATTAGCAGAGACTGAAAGACCTGTAATGGGTGTTTCAGATAAAGGAGACAGCTAATGCATGCAGTGCTGGTGGTCCTCCAGGAACGTGGTTTAGAAACACTGCTTTAAATTGTACAAATGCTTTCTTTAAAGCAGTGTTTCTCAACCACATTCCTGGAGGACCATCAGCTCTGTAGATTTTTTTTTTATGTTTCCTTACTCAAAGAGACAATTAGCCTGTTAGCAGAGACTGAAAGATCTGTAATGGACGTGACCGACAAAGGAGACAGCCAAAGCATGCAGTGCTGGTGGTCCTCAGGGAACGTGGTTAAAAAACACTGCTTTAAATTGTACTAAAGCATATAGTGGCTTAATTGGAGTTAACACATGGCCCAGATATCAGCACACACACTCACACACACAAATATATATATATATATATTTACACATTTACACACTGCTTTCGTGTTTTCATGGGTTAGTTTTAAAGCCCAGTGTAGCTGACTAGTGGTTTACCACCCATGAGCACCTGATGTAACAGTTTAAAACTATACAGTCAATAAAAAAAAAAAGAAATATTCACATATTAAATGAAAATTAGCTTCAACCCTTAGTACATTAAAACTATGCAGAATTTAGGGAAATAAGTTAAATATTAAAACGATGCATCCTGTCTCCTCCGGTTGTCTGCGGTGGGCTGCTGTATCCGGGCAGAATTCACAAAATTGACAGAGATACTGGAAAAGAAGCAGATTTTGAAGTGTTTGTCAGTGAGTTTGTAATTGTGTTAAAATAATAAACATTTGTTCGTGATTTAAGCGTTATACACAAATAAATAAATACACTTTTGAATAGATGAAAACAAACACAAACAATAAACCAAACCAAAACGAACAAATAAAACAAAAAGCAACGAAATATTGTCAAACCAATCAATTTAAAACAAAAGCAAACAAGCACATCTAAATCAAATGAAACACAACAAAACCAAACCCCAAACACAAAATTGATCATTAAAAACAAACTACAAAAAATAACACACACACACACACACACACACACACAAAACAAAACAAAAATTTACAAAACCTAAATCAAGCACAAAAAAACATAATATAAAACACAAAAGGTAGTTAAATGAAAAAGGTCTAACCCCCCAGCCTAAAATTGCTAAAAAAAAATACAAATAAAAAAATAAAACGAATCAAACAAAACATAAATGACAACAAAACATCAAAGAACAGAACACAATAAAATCAAACGAAACATGGAAATCAAAATCAGACAAACTAAATGGTTTTTGGTTATACACACACACACACACCTATATTTTACAGTCTATGACACACACACACACACACACACACACACACACACACACACACACACACAAGAAAACAAAAACCATAAAACACGCACAAGAACGTAAAAAACATAACACATAACAAGAATAGAAATCAAAACCAAACAAATAAATTAAACTAAAACACCAAAACCAAATATCACAACAAACTCTAAGCATATCATACACAATTTGTAAAAATATAATAATAAAATAATAATAACAAAAACAATGATACAAATTCATAAAAAAGCTTAATTAAAAAAACAACACAACAAAACCAAATAAAAAGCAGAACAAAAACCACTACGAAGTAGCAGAAAAAATAAATATAAAACAATAATGATGGTAATAACCATAAATACATAATAAAAAAAACACAACACACCCAAACCAAATAATAAAGCTGACAAAAAAATAAAGAAGAAATGAAGTGTGTGGTTGGCTGTTGTGCAGCCCCTGCTCACCTGATGGCAGTGTGGAGTTCAGTTGGCCATTTCAGAGCTGATGTTTTCTTTCCCCAAACCTGCAGCGCTCTGAGGAGACACGTGTCGCCCTCTCCTGTCTGCCGGCTGACCTCCCAAAACCTTCCTCTGACAGTAAAAACACCAGTCACCCGATTACTGACTTACAACCAAACATTAAATCATTATTACATTTACAAGCAACATCATCTGACGCTTTTCACATAGAGAAAATGATGAGCCTCCCCCTAATATTTCAGCTCTTTTTCAGATATTTCCCAAGTGATGTTTAACAGAATATTTGCCCAGAGTGTATCGATTTTCAGCATTTTCTCAAAATGTGTGTCAAAATGAGATTATTCACCAAAAATCATTCTGCTAGGTGAGAGATTTGTGGCCAAATTAAGACTCAAAAATCACCAGGGTGGATGAAAACATTACCTACAGTGCATAAGGGTTAAACTAAAACGTTATGCACGTATTGAATAAAAATGCCAATCCAGGACACCCTGATTACAGTGAAAATCAAAGATTGATGCGACTGGCCTACAGGATGGGTCGGCTCATTGGGAAGACACACCATGGTCACGTTTAATAACTGATGTGTGAAGCTCATCTGTTGATTAATTAAGAGAGAGAGAGAGAGAGAGAAAGAGAAAGTGCTCTGACCTTGATGAGACCACCGAAGGAGCGAGAGCGGCCGTGCTTCTTACTGCTAGGCGTCAGGTTCTCATTGACAGGCGTCCCAGGGGTGGACGGCTTGCCAAGCTGGAATCAGGAACACAAACAGCAGGATTACAAGTCAACTCCAACAGAATTAAAGACACTTCAAAATGCATAACTACAGGGGAAATGTACACTAATTGGATGAGCAGCTGCTGAAAATATTAAGTAATATGTAGGTACATTAAGGGTGCTTTCACACCTGTGAATCGATTCAGTTGTTCCGAATCAGAGATTAAAATTGTGACATTGTTGCTCTTTGCTCTTGGAGCGGTTCGCTTTCACACTGCAAAGTTTCTAATCGGACCAAAAGAGCTAAAACAAGTCACGTGCGAGTAAACTCTCCTCACATTGGTCAGAGTGTCAGGGTTTATTTTGCAGCGTCCCGCTCAGCTGTCAGGAGAGGTGTTGGTTTGGTGGTGATTGACAGGGTGCGAGCGCGTGACGTGTCTGAGGAGAGACACGGTGGGGAGGGGTGAGAAGGGTGCGCGACGATGCCTATTTGAGGACTGGGAGAGAGACGCGAGATTACCGGGAGATCATCACTCGTTTGCGGGCATCCGGAGACTCGCGAAACTTCCCGCCCTACTCATAATTCTCTCTTCATATAGCCGTAAGCCTATTACATATCCATAAACACTGTGATATAACCGCGCTCGGATCGGATCGCTTTCTCACTGCAATCGAACCGCTCCAGGGTTCGTTTCAATCGAGCCGAGACCACCTTATTCAAGCGGTCTCGGAGCGATTACTTTGGCGCGGAACAGAGCGCGATTGCCCTGTTCACATATGCCAATCGAACCGCGCTAACTGGGCAAACGAGATACGTTCCGAGACAATTGTGTAGGTGTGAAAGCACCCTAAAACTAGGGTGCATCATTCGATATCAACTACTGAATATTTTTTAACAGTTTTAGGAATTTTGGAATTTTTTGTTATTTAACCACTTTATTTTAATTTACCAACATTACTGAGGCAAATAGATTTAATAATCAAAAACAAAAATATTTCAACAAAATATCTGATTATAATATATATATATTAAATTAAGTCTTAAATTTCTGTGTGAGATTTCAGGTTGGATTTCATGTCATTTGTTATTTTTCAATGCATCCCACTCCTCTTGCCACTTATTTAAAATGTAAACGTGGATAAAAGGTCTCATCTCTGATGGAATTTTGGTAAAAATCGGCGAAATTATTTTGGGAGTATCAGAACTAAAACCTTAATACGTGAAATAAAAAGTAATACCTTTTGTTAACGTTTAAATTGCAAATCCAATTAGATGCACTTTTTTTGGAATAAAAGAAACAGAATAAAAGAAATAAGCAGACCTGTCTGATGAGCTTCTTCTTCTTGGCGGAGTTGGGCATGTTGTCAGTGACGTGCCTGTAAAGCTCTTTCAGCGCCTCTTCTGTGTGATTATCTGAGTCTAAGCGGACTCTCTCTCCGCTCCTCTTACACGCGCTGATGAACGGAGAGCCGCTGACCGACAACAGCTCCAGATCATCCTACAACAGCAACAGCAGAGCATTGACGTGTGCTGATATAGGAGTATAAGCTGAATGCAGAACCAACGGAAACAGCACAAACCTTGGATTGAAGGATTTTGGTGTTTGCGAACTGGAGTCTGGCATGTTCTCTCAGATACGCTGGAGCCTTTATAACAAGACAACAATAAAAAGATTTGACTTTGATATTTACAGAGGTAAAGATTTACTTTAAACAATAAATAAATGAATAACTGCAGTGCTGCTACTGTTAGCTGACACAAAAAAAGTTAAATCCTATAAACTCATTTAAATATTATATCATTAAATATAGATCAACTATCAATAGAAATTTTATCCTGGGTAGCTAATTTTAATTTAATTTGTTTCAATTAATAAAAAAAATAACTAAATAAATATTGAAAAGACAAATTTTAATAGAATATTATATAATTTAATAGAATTATAATAAATTAAAATTATACAAATTACAAAAATTGCATAAAATAAATCATGTTTCTTTTTATTTAAATCAATGAGTTTATGTCAAAGTAATAAAATAACTAAAGCAAAAAAAATTGAATAAAAGTAAAGGCAAACAAATAACTATTTACATAAAATTAGGGCTGAACCATTATCAAGACATCACAAAGACGATTAAGCAAAACAACGATGGTCTTTGCACAAGTAACAAATACATTTATGTTGAATAACTACTGGCACTAAACCTTAAAAAGTTTAAAAGTTAAATTAAAATGAAAGAAAATCTATATATTTTTTTAAATGGCAAAAAAAAAAACAATCTAATTAATATTAAGTTCAAAATCAAACAAAATAAAAATACATAACATTTTTTAATCCAAGGCTGAAATTAAAACAACAACAATAATAATAATAATAATAACAATAACAACAATAATTTTAAAATCCTCCATGAACCGCCACCTTAAGGTTTATACTTCTTCGTATACGCTCAAAAAATGTAACTACACGTCGCAACGACGCATAGCGCAAGCTCTGTGATTGTTCGGCTTGGTAGCGCTGACGAGTCTGGGCGGGACCAAGAGCCGTGCAAATGGCGTGAGCCCAATGGAGTGATTGTTTACAAGTGTGGAGTCCCGTGAAGGAGCTCCGGATGGAAAGTTTTGTTTTGTGTTTACCTCATAGTTAAAGTTGTTGCACGTCCGCCGGTTCCTGCCTCAAAATTAGCGAGTTTGAGCCACTTGTACATCCGGGAAGTGTTCAGGAAAAGAAAAACAGCAGCGAAGAAACTCGACACAGAGGAACATTTACACCTCACTGCCAACTAGCGTTTCGGAAGTGTAATGCAGACCAACAGAGACAGCGCGCAGAAGTATAAATGCACAGCTACGCGCGTTGCATGCGCCGTGGGTTACGCCGATCACTTGACGCAGAAGTATAAACCAGGCTTCAGATGGATCATTGCAGTGGCAGCAGTAATGTGATTGACGTGCCGGTCTGTTGTGGAAAGGAAGGAGCTGAGCCGAAAGGCAAAGCTCTTTATTTATCTATCAATCTACGTTCCTGCTCTCACCTATGGTCATGAAGTAGGTCATGACTAGGCCCACCCAGAATCTGCGCGCGCAGAATTTCGCAGATTTTCCACAGATTTTTAACTGTGGAAAGATTAATTCTGTTTATTCACTTGAGTAAATGTGTGTAAATCTATATTTATTCAGTTTTTTTATTAATTTCAGGAATATTAATGACTATTGTGTTCATCTGATTTATGTACAATGCAGTTTGTACATTAATATTTTCTGTCTTTTAATAGAGATATTATATGACAAACTTGCTTTATTTACCAAATAAAGTGAATCTAATTGCGTTTTAAATATTATAGTACATTTAAAAAGATATTATTTTTATTTCATATATTAAGTTTTTAGTTATGATACTCCAAAAATAATTCCGCAGAAATGCGCAGATTTTTACCTAAATTATTCGCAGAAATAGCAAAAAACGTCCGCAGATTCCGTCTGGCCCTAGTCATGACCAAAAAGAAAAGATCTTATAAGTGGGCGAAATGAGTTTGCTTCGCAGGGTGACAAGGCGCTTATAAATTTACAAATAAATAAACACATATAGAAATAAAAACTGTAGCTTTCTGTAAAATTTCAATTGCTTTCCATCTCATCATTATATGCACATTAATAAGCTGCAGTGAGAAAAGGTTTGATCTGAAAAGATACCCTAAAGATCTTCTGTGAGTGTTTGATGAGAAACGCCATCCCGCTGTTGAGCTTCTTCAGGTTCTCCTGAAGGTCACTGGCATTCATCTGAAGAAAGACACAGAGAACAACATGAAAAAAAAAAAACATGCTTGAGCATGAATGACTTCAAAAGAAAGCCGGCGGCGTACATTCTTGGGCCAGATGACGTGCGGGCCGAACATGAGCGCCAGGTTGTGAGCAGACATCTTGTTTTTGTCCTGCTGTTTGGCGGTGTGGTAGAGCAGGTCCAGCAGCAGCTTGAGGAGTGTTCGGTTGGCGGTGGGAAGAAGCAGGAGGAGGAGCTGCAGAGCCTCGATCTGACGCTCCTTATCCGGAAAACTCGTCTTGTTGCCTTCATCGTCAAACGTGGTCAGTTCTGTGGAGAGTTAATAAAGACCCGTTTCCGATTTTATTCCAGATTGAGGGGGGTATTATTGGGGGTTACACTTTGTGTAAAAAAGGGATTTTTACACTTTTTTGAGGGATGTAAACAACAACAACAATGGTCCTAACATATTTCCGGTTTTATATTTGTAATTTCCATAGCTTCAGAGAATTCAAAAAGGTCCACATTAGAGCTGGAAAAAATAGGCGATATTGTTGTCGAGTAACATTATTTCTTACGATATAACATTTCCTTAGAAAAATGCAGTTTTTACTTCAGATTAAAAACTGTGTCAGGGTGTAAACATTGTTTCATTTTTAACTTTTGTGTGAACGCAGTGATTCTTGCAGCAGTTAGTGGATGGTGGTTTCGAATATGCAACCTTAGGTTAGGGCCGTGCAATTAATCGAAAGTCCGATTTTGATTATGGCTTCTAACGATTATGAAAAACCATTAATCGAGATAAACGATTATTGCATCATATATCAAAAGCGCGAAAGACCGGTCTCATTCGCACACTGAGACGAGCAGAGGAGCGCAGACATCTAAAGTAATCTTAACAAGAGTGCTTTAATGGTCAAATAGGTGTCAAAACGCGGTGATTAGTGATTATTCATATTAACCCTCATTTGCGTAATAAACAAACGAGTTGAGAATCAAAAGACACGTGAAAGAGAAACCATTAAAGCGACAGTGCGAAATGCTGCCGCCTGTTTTATCATTAATCAAACGACGAGAAAATTTCTTACTGCTCTTGACTGAAGGATTTTTGTAGCTTAAGTGTTTTTCTTAGGGTGAAGATGCTTAAATCATAGTTTGTTTTATACTTTTATTCTATTGTAATTGTTTCTCTTTCCTTTGCAGGGTGGAAAATAACTGTATATATACACATAGTTGAAGTCAGAATTATTAGCCCTCCAGAACATTAGCAACCCTTTTCCTCCAATTTCTGTTTAATGGAAAGAAGTTTTTTTTTAAACTTATTTCTGAACATACTAATTTTGATATATTATGTCTAACTACTGATTTGTGATTTGCTATGATGACAGTACATAACATTTTACTAGATGTTTTTCAAAATACAAGCATTCAGATTAAAGTGCAATTTAAAGGCTTAATTAGAGTAATTAGATAAGTCATTGTATAACAGTAGTTTCTTCTGCAGACAATCAAAAAATATATTGCTCAAGGGGGCTAATAATATTGACCTTAAAATGGGTTTCAAAATATTTAAACCTGCTTTTATTCTAGCAAAAATAAAACCAATAAGACTTTCTCCAGAAGAAAAAAAAAATATTAGAGGAAATACTGTTAAAATTCCTTGCTCTGTTTAACATAATTTGGGAAATAGTTATTTAAAAAAAACAAAATTCTCAGGTGCGCTAATAATTTCGACTTCAACTGATAATCGTTTTGAATAATCGTGATTACAATTATGACCCAAATAATCGTGATTATGATTTTTTCCAAAATAGAGCAGCCCTACCTTAGGTTTGAGGCATTTCCATCTCTCTCGGTCACCTTTTTGTTGCACAATTTGCAAGTTGCCGTATTTGCCGCCTCTCCCTTCTCATTCGGCCAAAACCCGAAACACTGCCAAACTGCAGAAGTTGTGTTCTTTTTTCAAGACCAGGTCACTTGGTGCACGACTCGCCATCTTTCCCTAGCTCTATCCTTCTCCTCCGCGTTATTCTTTGATGACAACCACGCCTACCCATTTTTAGGTATTAAAAAAATTATATTTGATCCTTGTCTCTTATATAAGTGCACTGTTATAAAAAAACAATATCAAAACTGATCCCTTTGCTATTTGAAGACCCCACTGTATACCATATTACCCCCCAGTGAATGCATCACAGTGAATTTCTGCATTTTCATGTGGATGGAGATCAGGGCCGGAGTGGGACTCCTTTTTAGCTCTGGAGTTTCAAGCCTTAGACCGGCCCACCTCAGTCGACGACTGACTATATTAAAATTACGTCATTTCCAATTCAGTTTCAAATGACACTAACATGTATTTTTCAAGGACACAGCTGCTTTAGAATTTCAAATGTTTTTCATAAATATGAGAACATTAATTCTTTATAGATATCCAGTCCTTTGTAACAGTCGTCACACAAAAAAAAAATGTATTCCTACATAAGTAACCCAAACAGTATTTTATGTCTTAACACTGAAAAAAAAAACATATTTTACTCTGGTGAGGTTCGAACTCGGGTCGGCTGCGTCAATGCGTAACGTGCTAACCACTAGACCACGATGGCACTGTTAAACACTGAATGTTATCTGCTCCTATTGATGTCTACTCCGTTTTTACCCTGCTCTTTTTCCCCATTTTAGATTTCTGATCAAGTTATGTTAAGATTAAAAGTTAGATTTATTAATGTAGTAAATCATCTGATTTTCATTGAGCAGGTGTAATATTCATTAATATTAATTAATATTCACTAAGGTGCCGCTGTTTGGGGTGAAATGGGGTGCAGCCCGCAGGTTAATGATGATCATCATTAACCTGCGGGCTGCATTTAGCTCACGGGGCTGCGAGAAAATAAATAAAAAGAGCGGAGCTGCGGCAAAATAATGATTAAAAAGAGTGAGGTTATGGTCAAATAAACAAATAAATTAAAAAAGTGCAACTGCTGAGAGTGCAAGCAGCTAGGGACACCGGCCCTCGCGGCCAAATAAACGGACCGGCCCACCGGGAACTCTCCCGGTTCTCCCGATTAGCCAATCCGGGCCTGATGGAGATTATCTTTCTTTTTTTTAACACCCATGTACATGTATACATGGTCTCAGCGGAGATCACTGTGAGTTTTATCTAATGCAAGAGGAACAGAAATGCAGCTAATGATGTAGAAGGCACAGCATGAAGTGTGGATGATGAACCTGTGATCTTCAGGTGGGCGTGCAGGTGGCGGTGGGTCAGCAGGGGCTCAGGCAATTCTCCCAAGAAACTCTTGAGGAGCGTGGCCACGTCATTGGGATGAAAGTCACCAGCGGCGAAGTCAATATCGGCTCCACTGTTGAGCTGCTCTCTCAGCGTCTGCTGCCTCAGACTGTTCCCAGGAACTCGAAACAGACCCTGCACATGGAGATCTACAGGAAAACAACCTGTTCAAGCACCTCTTAACAGTGTCCTTACCATAAAGATTCAAATACTTGTCAATCTTCCAATGTTTTAGTGTATTTTAAGCAATAGTTCACCCATTCATTTACTTATTCTTGACTAATTTTAAACCTGTTTGAATTTTCTTTCTTCTATTAAACACAGAAGAAGATATTTGGAAGAGTTCAACAACTCATATAGTAGGGGAAACAGCAACCCACAATTTTTTTTACATCTTTTGTGTTCAACATAAGAAAACTCAAAGGAGTTTTGAACGAATGGAGGAGTAAATGAGGACAGAATGTACATTTTTTGGGTGAACTGTATAATAAAGCCATCAACTTTATTAATATCATGCACTTACTTTTGCTGAGGTAAGCGATGAGCTGATATATCTGGGCTATTCCTTCTTCTGTGAGGGGCATGCCGAACACAACACCTTTGTCTGAAAATAAATACGACAATCAGTCAACGCCTCTTCCAAAAGAATGCATCTTTTCTCTAATACATGAAATGAATTTGATGCTTATATTTAATTCTGCTTGCCAAAGAATCATTTAATAGGGATAGATTTGTTTTAAATGGGCACATATACTATTGTTCTACATTTTAACCTTGAACAGGAAACCGGAAGGCAATATTTGCTGTATAAAATCCTCTGTTTTTATTTTGGCTAAACACACACCAAATTTGACATCAGAATGTTTCTATTCAGGTGCAAAAACTCATCACAATTGGTGTGAAGAAAAACACCTTGAACTTACTAGAATAGAAACATTTTTTTAAGTAGTTTAAACAAGTTTTGTCTTAAGCACAATTAGAGAAGCTCAGCAGAGTAGGACAAACAAGTAAATAAATGTGCAATGAAAAAAAAAAACTTCGGTCCCACTTTATATTAAGTGTCCCTAACTACAATGCACTTACATAAAAAAAATTAATACAATGTACTTACTGTGTTTATAATGTATTTCAGAACACTTGTGGTGCTTTTGACTTGAGATAGAGGTTGGGTTATGGACAGGTTTGGTGGTTTGGGTAGGTGTAAAGGTGTGTTGAGGTGTAAGGGATGGTCAACAGTGAATTTACAAATGTAATTACAAAAGTTATTACATACATGTATTCAATCAACCATAAGAATACATGTATTTACACAATAAGTACATTGTAACAAACTATTAAATCCTATGTAAGTACATATTAGTTAAGGTCACTTAATATAAAGTGGGACCCAAACTTCAATATACAGCGAGGAAAATAAGTATTGGCCATGTTCTTTCTCAGAAAACATATTTCCAAAGGTGCTGTTGACTTGAAATTTTCCCCAGATGTTGATAGCAACCAAAAAATCCATATATGCAAAGAAAACAAATCTAATTAATTTACAAATGAAGTTATGAGTAATAAAAAGAAATGACGCCGGTAAAAAGTATTGAACACATGAAGAAAGGGAGGTGTGGTTGAGCAGTGAAAGCCCAGACAGCAACTGAATATCTCGGTAGTTCTTCAGCAACCCGCTGCCCTTCCTCAGTGTAAATGAATATCAGCTGCTTCAGTCCAACATCTTCATTAGCAGGAGGATGAAGATGAAACCAGGGTGGACATTTCAGCAAGACAATGATCCAAAACACACCCCAGGAAAGTACCTTTAATAGACCTTTTTCACAGCGGAATTGAACACCGGAAGCGCCCTTCGAAGCAGTGTATCGATATTTCCGGGTTCGCTAGGAGTCGCAGAGACATGACAGCCTCGGGACAGCGGATGACTTTCTCACGGTCAACTTTGCCATAATTTGGACAGGAAGATGTTGTTCGGTGAATGTGTAAAACTGCCTTAATAAAACAGCATTTAAAAGATGATACCGATTTGCAGAGTTTGTGCAGAAAACGTGTCTTACACAGCGTTTGCCATGTCAGGTTCCAGTAAGGTGCACAGCCAACAGCATAAAATCTGCTCATTCAAGCCATTCGTAAACTAGATTAACCTGGCTATTTAACATCCAGCAGGATGAGTTTTATGTCAGTAGTCCCGTCTGTAAACTGTGCTAACCCCCTCCTTCCTTTTTATTCAGAGTCAGATATGGTGAATGGCGAGGTAGCTGTACAGGCGAGTTGCTATCGGTTAATGCATTACAGGTTGTTTATTGCTCGTGAGGTTTTCTCAAGTCTGGAAACACGTTAGCTCCTACTCGTGGATAATATTCATTTTTATTATTTATTTAAAGAACAGCAAATAACATTTTAAACATTAACACATTAAATAACACATTAAAGTATACTATCTTTATTATATAACTGACTAAACAAATAATTTTGCTGTCAAACCAATTAAAAAAAGAGATTTGCATTTGTATGAACTGTCTATTATTCCAAAATAACAACAATCTAGGGATAAACCATGCTTATAGATTAATGACCATGATGAGCACTTGTTTGTGGAAGGCAGATAGCTTAACTGGAGTTTTGTCTATATTATAATTACTCGTCAAAATAAACCATAGACCACCAGTCTTTAATGAAACATAATAATCTCCGCTTTGAAGTGTATACAGCATAAGAATGTACTCCCGCATATAACTTGAAACAGCATTCAACCCCCTTTAATATTGTCATCCATGATTTTCCCTGTCCTTCGTCTTTCGGGAGATCGTGGTCATTAAAGTAAGAGTGTCGTTTTTGAGTTGGAGCAGCTGGGAACGCAGCAATCACAGCGCTGAGATGACCCTGCCATTCTTTCTTGCTCCGTCGCATTGAAACCGGATGTTGTGGTACACTGCTTCGCTTACCGGAACCAGGAAGTGTGAAAAAGGCCTATTAAATACATTTCAGTAGTTCAGTACTTTCTCCTTGTATCGTTCCATAGTTATTACACGTAGCTAATTTTTCAGATTTGTTTGTTTGGTTTTTACCAAAATCTGCTTTAATCCCATGTCAACAGCTCCTTTAGAAATATGATTCACAGGAAAAAACATGACGTGTTCAATACTTATTATCCCCGCTGTATGCATTGTTGTTTTTGCTTAAAATGAAAAAGAACAGGCATCATGGTGGCGCAGTGGGTAGCACGATTGCCACACAGTAACAAGATCACTGGTTCTAGCCTCAACTTGGTTAGTTGGCATTTCTGTGTGGAGTTTGCATGCTCTCCCCATGTTGGCGTGCGTTTCCTCCGGGTGTTCAGGTTTACCCCACAAGTCCAAAGACATGAGCTGTAGGTGAACTGGATAAATTCAATAGGACAGTGCATGTGTGTGAATGAGTGTGTATGGATGTTTCCCAGTGATGAGTTGCAGTTGGAAGGGCATCCGCTGTGTAAAACATATGCTGGATAAGTTGGCGGTTCATTCTGCTGTGGCCAACCCCAGAATAATAATGGACTAAGGGCATACTAACACATTATGTATAGTTGCCTTGAAAGAAGCCGAAGCACGCTTGTCCGCCCTTCCGTTTCCCCTGACGGCCCGCACTCGCATTTAGGCCTGGGCACGCTTACATTATTGATGATGCGCTGTTCAGTCTAAGCGCTCTCACTTAGCATAGTGGAGATTTCTTGATATGGTTTTATCGTTTTATTGTTTTCAGATACAGTGACACGCAGTCAAATATTTCGCCGAACAGATCCGCCACTTTTGACGCTCACAAACAATCATAAATTTCTCATGCTGCAGGGATTAGGAGGTCTGCTGAAGGTGCAGCTGTCGTGCAGTGCGGTGTTTGCCTCATTTATAAAGTACAACAGTTTGTGTTCATTGAACAGTATGAATGATTAATAAATCCATATCAAACAATCCCCCTAAGTCACGTCTCGTCTTCAGTTTTGGGCTCAGGTGCGCTTTGCACTCACACACAAGCGTACGCGCCAAAGCCCAAGTGAACCGCGCTCTGACACACGTCTTCCAACTGGGCCAGGGACGGAAAAATGAACCGTGCCTGAGCCTGATTCAGAGCACTCACACTTATCAAACGATCCGGGAAACGGGCCTGGGCACGATTTGGATAGCATAGTGTGAGTATCCCCTAAGCCGAAAATAAAATAAATGGATGAATGAATGAATGAACGAATGAAAAAGAACTTTAAGTACACCTTTTATTAAAAAAAGAATAATGAATTAAAAATGTAATATACATATTATTACACCAGAGCACCCGGAGGAAACCCACGCGAAGGCAGGGAGAACATGCAAACTCCACACAAAAACGCAAACTGAGCAGAGGTTCGAACCAGCAACCCAGCGACCTTCTTGCTGTGAGGCGACAGCACTACCTACTGCGCCACGGCGTTGCCCGACTTAGCATTTTTAAAAGCTAAATTTATGATATAATTAAATACATTACTGAATTATCAGCATATCAGAAGGGACATTAAGAATTCAATGAAAAATGTATTTTCAACTTGAATTAACTCTAATTTAGATTGTGTCTTCATTCGAATTGGAAACCAAACACTGTCGACCACATTAAATAACCAGCCCCACTCTTGCCTTTTACTTGGCCCATTACTATTAACCGCAATAAATATAGAGCGGAGCGGTCAATAGCAGGAGCCCACGGCGAAAAACTAACTTGAATAGCAATCAGTAACTTCCCAGACCTTCCCAAAAACAGATGATGTAATTCTCACGATGAAGCTTATTCAATAGTTTCTGTCAATAGAGTCTGAAATCTCCCCGCAGAATGATCACCGCTGCCTTTATAATAAGCTCAGAGGCACACAGACAGCAGGGCGGTGGTTGTAAATATGTAGAGCTTAACAGAAATTAAGGACAACCAAAAAGGATGACAGTCGATATTTAGGTTTTCTATCCAAAGCTGGTTATTTTATGATCAATTAGACGTGGTTTATATGAAAGGCAAAGGCCTCTAGATTACGCTTAATTGAGCACAATAAATATGATCATGTCTTGGTTTTGAATGATTTCATTAGGACAGTAAGGTCTGACTTTGTTTAGACCAAAGTCTTGTCACTGAACAGAAATAATGTCCAGTATAGGATAAAAAGTCATGCTGCAGTGGAGACAGAATGAATATTGTGTCTGACTCCATCATGAGCTTGGAGGACTGCATCCATACATCTCTGACATGACTCAAATCCCTGATTAATGAAGTCATCTGGCATGGCAAAGAAAGCGTTCTTGCAGGACCCCCAGAGTTCATCAAGATCCTTTGGATTCATCTTCAATGCCTCCTCCTCCATCTTACCCCAGACATGCTCAATAATGTTCATGTCTGGTGATTGGGCTGGCCAATCCTGGAGCACCTTGACCTTCTTTGCTTTCAGGAGCTTTGATGTGGAGGCTGAAGTATGAGAAGGAGCTCTATCCTGCTGGAGAATTTGCCCTCTCCTGTGGTTTGTAATGTAATGGGCAGCACAAACATCTTGATACCTCAGACTGTTGATGTTGCCATCCACTCTGCAGATCTCTCCCTCTGCAGATCGCTTCCATTTATCAATTCATTCTCGGGGCATCATGGATGCACACTTCAGAATCTCACTGGAAGTAGCAAGTCATCCAGGTGCTTATAGCATACTGATTTTCGAATTCTATGAATTCAGACATTCTACTCGGCACGCATATTGTTTTTAGTGTACTATATAGTATGGAAGTCTGCAATTTTGGACGCAGCCTATGTGGATTTCCTAGGTTTCTTATAATGTATTTGGAGTTTCCCTGAGAGCACCCTCTAGCCTTCGGAGGAGACTTACAGCTGATCACAGAACCGTTCTTCTCAGACAAGATGTGCATGACAATCATAGCTTTGCTTAATTTGCCGTTTTATTTCTATTAATCATCCACACTTAATGTAAACACGCGTGGATGGAAACATAGCTATTAAAAACCATCTTCAAAATTCTCCTCACCTTTACGTTTCAGGAAGTTGAAGGAGCGGAAAAAGCCAGCGTTGGGAGTCTTGGGTTCCTCGTCGCCTAGTAGCTGTGAGAATTCGGCCCCTGGGAGGTCGATGAGCCGGGTGATGTTACTCAGCACCAGCTCGGTGAAGGCTTCGGGACGCTCATGACGCATCTTCTCCACAAAGAAGTCGGGGTTGAAGATAATGGGCGGCCGACCCTCGCCACTACTGCCTGTTTCGGACTCTTGATTGATCACAACATTGCACACAGTGCCCCTACAAAAAAACAACATTAATACTCAGTTACAGACAATTTACATGCATTTTGCTTATATTAGGAATTCAGAAAGCTAGTTATTAGCGACACCGGTGGCCGTTTAAAAAACTGCAGCCAGAAATGTAATGTATGCTCACAATACGATTGCAAGCTGTTCCAACCTCACGCCAATTCGTAACGTTTTGATTTAGTAGCTCATTTGTTTTAATTTGTATGATCTCATTTGTGGAATTTAGAAAAATTTGCTCATCCTCCAAACACGATTGGATTTAAGAGTAGGGTTTGATGGCACACCTTCTTTTAAAAATCTTACATTTCTGTACAACTAAACTGGTAGGATATGAAATAATTATAATTAGCCACTAAACTGACAAACAGTAAAACATCCATGTTTCCTTGTGAGATGGGCTGGCTGGTCACATATTGGCATAAAAAAGCAATTATTAGATTAAATCTCTCACATATTTAAATAAATAAATTGTAAAAATTTTATTTAGACATAATTCTGTGCTTAGCATTATTCATTTCAAAATGAATATTAATTTTGATATTATTGGGGAATACGCAAAAAATAAAAACATCTAGGTATTAAAATTAAAAGAATGCAAATTTCATACAATTCTAAATATTATAATTATTATTATAGAAAATATGGATTATACAAATTCACAATATAATTTAATTCTTTATTTGTTCCACTATTCCACTAATATTAAAAAGTAAATAATAATAAAAAAATATTTAAAATGAATTAAATAAATAAATAAATAAATATATATATATATATATATATATATATATATATATATATATATATATATATATATATATATATATATATATATATATATATATATATAAAATACAAATGTGAAAAATTAAATGAAAAGTTATAGTTTTTTTTTTAACCGTTTTCATTTCAGTGTAAAATTTGCTATAAATTTTAGGGTAGCTTTTGTACGACTTATTGATTATTACTTGTTTTGTCATTTTGGCCAAGTTTTATTTTTATTTCCTAACCTGTCATGTCAGAAAATGACCTTTTAACATTCTTTGATATTCCATTCCATCAATATGGCTAGACGATACCGCAAATCCGAAATTTGGATATTTGCTGTGATATATATTATTGTGTTATATATATTGTAGTATGAATATAACCTCACCAGATGATGTAAATAGCTTTATTTGGAAAGATTTCATTAATTTAAATCATCTGTGATGATCAAGTCTTTTACTATGGAGTGTATCTGAATAAAATACCATCAAAATTGTCATAAGACAAAAAATGGTGGTTGTTCAATAGTTTTGGGGCAAATTTGATGAAAGGTTTCAGATCCACTTCACATTTTAACTAATAAGCATATATAATGTTTTTACTTTATTTCATTTCATAAATTAGGGCTGCACAATATATTGTTTCAGCATCGATATCGCAACGCGTGTGTCAGCAATAGTCACATCACAGGATGTGCAATGTTGAGTTGATCAGCACAACAGTTGAGAATACATGGAATTTGTGGAGACAATGTAAAGTATAACCATAACAGAATAAAAGTTTATCATTGGCATGTGTTTTAAAGGCGTTTCAAGAGAGTTTAAAGCATTCAGGTGCAAAAAAAGAACATTTGATATTTTAATGAGGAATTATTGATTATTGTAGGAATATCATGCAGCCCTAAATTACAGACATTTGAAAATGCCAGGACATGCAAGTCAAGAAGTCTTTTAAAACACAAACTAAAAATAGTCAAAATTACTTCAGGTTCTAAATTGTGCTTTGAAGCAACTATAAAAACTAATTCTAATGATATTTATGAATAATATTTATAACATCTGTAAACTAAACAACACTTTTCAAGGTTAGAAATTATAAAACAATTTCAAAAATTCCTTAAAAGGTAAGATTTTTTTTATTTTTATTTAGTTCAATCTAAAGTCAAACAGAATCCAAATGTGCAGAAACTATATTAAAGACATTAAAAATGACAATAACTAATAAAAATATAAAACAGGGTAATTAAACAACAACAAAAAAATTAAATACTAAAATAACAATTGTGTGTGTGTGTGTGTGTGTGTGTGTGTGTGTGTGTGTGTGTGTGTGTGTGTGTGTGTGTGTGTGTGTGTGTGTGTGTATATTATAAATTGGTTAGGCAAAAATAAAAGGATATGATACCTAAATCTTTCTTTAAAATATAAATGAATAATAAATCAGCATTCATGATTTTAAATCTTTTAAAAACAAAACAGTAAGCTAAACATGCAGTTTATTATTGTATTGTTTATTTTTATTTGTTATTGTAATTATTGTTTCTGATCAAGTACAAAACAAAAATAATGAGGTAACGTTAAAAAAAAGTCAACAAAATCTCCATGATGGAAGTAGAAATATTAAGTAGTTTGTTTATATGCACAAAATCAGACTTTCTCCTCAATAACATAGCTTTAAAAAATAAACTTTGCAAATATTAAATAGTGAAATCATATTAGCAGCCAATGACTATTAAAAGTACATTTTGCAGTCAAAAAAATAGTGCCAATGTTGTTTTAGAGTCATACTTGCATGTGATTTCAGACCAAATATACCATGGTAAACAATAGGAGTGTGTCACAAGTTGTCACTGAATGAATGTAAACCAACTTTACCTCTATAATGAGATATACGATCAACTCATTGTTCTGATGGCACTTAAACAAACATTGATGAAACACTGTTTATTATTAATTATCATAACCTATAGATGTATAGGTTATACATTTATAGGTTATGATATATAATAATAAACAGTGTTTTATGGGTCACATTCATTTAACCACAGAATTTACAATATTTACTCTCTATTTCAAAGTAGAAATAACGTTACCATAGTGTCACTACGGTAAAGTTAAGCTGCTTTGTGTACATGTACATTCAAAGTTACGACTTTAAAACAAAACAAAACTACCGTAAAACAATCGTTATTGGACAGAAACCGGTTATTTTATTGTGTTTAATGCTAAAATATGCAGGGAACACTATGTACTAAACACCACAGCGCCATTCAACGAAGCACTTCGGCTACAGTTCGTTCATTTGTTCCTATATAATCAAAATAGATATGTTTAACTATGTTTTAGACTATATATGTTTATCCATGGATTTAGCAAATAAATCTTCGTTACCTTCTGTCTCGTTTATTTACATCGGTGTCTTTCTCCGTGGCCATCTTTCATCTTCCGTTTGAATCCACCGCTGCCGAGGCGTTAACCGCTGCTTAATCATGATTGGACAAAGAGATAAAAATGGGCGGAGTCTCGGAGCCAGGGGAGATTCCCAAGCGCTGATTGGTCTATTCAAATGTTTCAGCGCAAGAGGATGCAGTTCTGGGATCAGCCGTGCATTTATTTACTGCTGCTTTGCACGGCTGCTGCAGTAGTAACATCAAGTACGTTTATGTTTACGCTTTATATAATTCCAAAATGTTAATGTTAACCCCACAAATCTAGAATTTGATAAAGCAGTCAAAATAAATATTAAAATGATCAATAATGCAGTAAAATTGAAACGTCAGTGAAGTATCTTCTTGTTGTCTTAAGTTGTCCATTAATTGTATTTTACTAAATACAAGTAAATGTATTTACTCCAACCATCACAGTAATGTAAAAACAGCATTTATGCAGTTAATTATTCATACTATTTATTAAATACCCCTTTAAATTGCAATTTTTAACGTCTACCCCCACCCCAACCCTCACAGTAATGTAAAAAACAGTAATTAAACAGTATTATTCATATTATTTAATAAATAACCCATTTATTTGTATTTATTAACGTCTACCCCTACCCCAACCCTCACAGTAATGTAAAAAAAAAGTAATTATAAAGAGTATTATTCATATTATTTATTAAATAACCCATTAAATTGTATTTATTAACGTCTACCCCTATTCCAACCCTCACGATAATTTAAAACAGTAATTATACAGAGTATTATTCATATTATTTATTAAATAACCCATTAAATTGCCTTTTATTAACGTCCACCCCTACCCCCACCCTCATAGTAATATAAAAACAGTAATTATTGTTGTACAGTGTCACAAAAATGATGCTATTATATAGTACGTACATACCCACAGCTGTATCCTTTCTAGACTTTACCATTGTAATTGAGATTTAATTCTTTATTTATAGATTATTGACCATTGGCCCATGAACTTTTCCTGCTTTTTGTCATACTATTTCATAACTGTAACAAGAGGCAATTCAATCATATCTTCACATTAAAACAGCTATCGTCACATTATTTATCAATATGTGGACCTTTTTGGATTCTCAGAAGCTGTAAAAATTAAAAATGTAAATCAGGAACTAAATTAGGACCATTGTTATTGTTTACATTCCTCAAAAGGATAGAAGGACAGTCGACAACATCGTGCATAGCAATCAATAATTTATTTGTTAATATTACATCAACATAACATTGAACATCATTCGATCCAAAAGTAAACATATACTGTATAGACAATTCACGAGAAATAAGAATTATTCATTTAAAACTGTAGCTACAAATGATTGCATGAACAAAAATAAAATAAAATAAAACGTATTTAAAAAGGTGCAATTGTGAAACAACTGTTAATGCATAAATGGAAATATGCGAAAATTATTGCATAGTTCGAAATGTGTCAAATCCACTATAATCATTCCTGTTGTGATATTATTTGTAAAATGCTGTTTATGAATGTAGGTTAATGTTAAGCGATGTATTATTACAACATAATGGAAATATTAACATCCTTTTTGATGGTTAAAGTATTCATGAAGTCAAAATGTACAATGTAGCTTGGTGCACATTGATATTCTTAAGGTGAACAATTAATCAGTGCAAATGAATTCACCCAGTAGGCACAGGACACTAACATGATGTCAGTCAGATTGGTGTTGTACCCCAACGTCATGGGACAATACATTTTGTTCGGTAGTGAAAATCGGCTTGACGTCAGAACCCAACGTCAGGCCAATGTCCAACATCAGACAGACGCTACGTTTTTGTCACTTTCCAATGCAACCTAAAACCAACTAAATATCAACATCTAATGATGTTACAGCTTGACGTTGTGTGGACGTTACCTTTATAACGTTTATCAGATGTTGGATTTTGGTTGCCATACCTGATGAATAAATGTCAGTATTTGATGACAATATGACGTTGGTTTAAGATGTTGGCTCTATGTTGGATTTTGGTCACTTTATAACACAACCTAAAAACAACCAAATATCAACGTCTAATGATGTTACAGCTCAACGTTGTGTGGATGTTACCACTATGACACTTATCAGACATATTTTGGTTGTCATACCTGATGAATAAATGTCAGTATTTGACGTAAATATGACGTTGGTTTAAGATGTTGGCCCAACGTTCGATTCTGGTCACTTTCCAACACAACCTAAAAACAACCAAATATCAACGTCTAATGATGTTACAGCTTGAGGTTGTGTGGATGTTACCACTATGACGCTTATCAGACGTATGTGGTTGCCATACCTGACGAATAAATGTCAGTATTTGATGTCAAAATGATGTTGGTTTAAGATGTTGGCTTGATGTTGGATTTTGGTCACTTTTAACACAACCTAAATTCAACCAAATATCAACGTCTAATGATGTTACAAATTGACGTTTTGTGGACGTTACCACTATGACGTCTATCAGACGTTGGATTTTGGTTGCCATACCTGACGAATAAATGTCAGTACTTGACGTCAGTATGACGTTGGTTTAAGATGTTGGCTCGATGTTAGATTGTGGTCACTTTCCAACGTAATCTAAAATCAACTAAATATCAACGTCTAATGATGTTACAGCTTGATGTTGTGTGGACGTTACCTTTATAACGTTTATCAGATGTTGGATTTTGGTTGCCATACCTGATGAATAAATGTCAGTATTTGATGACAATATGACGTTGGTTTAAGATGTTGGCTTGATGTTGGATTTTGGTCACTTTATAACACAACCTAAAAACAACCAAATATCAACGTCTAATGATGTTACAGCTCAACGCTGTGTGGATGTTACCACTATGACACTTATCAAACATATTTTGGTTGTCATACCTGATGAATAAATGTCAGTATTTGACGTAAATATGACGTTGGTTTAAGATGTTGGCCCAACGTTCGATTCTGGTCACTTTCCAACACAACCTAAAAACAACCAAATATCAACGTCTAATGATGTTACAGCTTGAGGTTGTGTGGATGTTACCACTATGACGCTTATCAGACGTATGTGGTTGCCATACCTGACGAATAAATGTCAGTATTTTATGTCAAAATGATGTTGGTTTAAGATGTTAGCTTGATGTTGGATTTTGGTCACTTTTAACACAACCTAAATTCAACCAAATATCAACGTCTAATGATGTTACAAATTGACGTTTTGTGGACGTTACCACTATGACGTCTATCAGACGTTGGATTTTGGTTGCCATACCTGACGAATAAATGTCAGTACTTGACGTCAGTATGACGTTGGTTTAAGATGTTGGCTCGATGTTAGATTGTGGTCACTTTCCAACGTAACCTAAAATCAACTAAATATCAACGTCTAATGATGTTACAGCTTGATGTTGTGTGGACGTTACAACTATGACGTCTATCAGACGTTGAATTTTGGCTGCTTTACCTGACGAATAAATGTCAGTATTTGATGTCAATATGACGTTGGTTTAAGATGTTGGCTTAACGTTCGATTTTAGTCACTTTCCAGCGCAACCTAAAAACAATCAAATATCAACGTCATCATTTCACATTGTAATTGGACGTCAAAATGACATTGTCATGCTGGCGACCTAAATCTAACCTAATATTAATGATGTTGTGTGTCTGCTGGGCACAGTGAAAAAACAGTTTTGTCAATCTTTCATTAAATCTGTTCATTTTCTTACGCTCTGGAATGGCAGTCCTTCATCGATGTGATTATACGTCTGACTAAGCGAAGTATCCTTAGCCACGCCCCTTCGACAGTTTGTTGTGAGTAAAAAAACAAAGGAGGAGCCCAAAAAGAAAGCCCCGCCCCCTACTCAATATTCCATTTCAGTTGGACAAACATTTCATACCAAAATAAAAGCAACTTTCGTTTCACATTTAACACAAAGAGCTTAGAATGATCTAGAGGCGACACTCAATAGAACGTTCCATTGCAACAGCGGCGCCCAGCAACAGCCCCGGATTCCGCCATTTTGGAGTGAAAGCGGTCGGCTGTCCATTGGATCTTTTTGCTGTGGCGATGGCAAGCAGCTGCTTTGTTTTTTATTTATTTATTTATTTTAAAAGTGCATTAAAGCTGAAATGCAACCTGAAAAACGCCAATACAACACTTACTATCACAATCATCAGCACTTTTAATAGTTCATTTTACAGACTTAAAATATGCTGTTGTTCTATCTGCTTGTTAGGTGTTGACATGTTGGTGACGTGTGTAATACTGTTTCCGGGTCCAAGCCGCCACTCATTTGAGTTGAGAAATTATTCGTTTACGATCACTTTTTATTCATATCACACATTAAAGTGAATTTTATATAAAGTCATAGTGTACACAACAATCTCTGGGCTTGCTGCATAACAAATACTAAAATGTTAACAATTTATAAAAAAAAATTAATCACTTTCTGGCCATTGGATATTAGGCATGGACATAAATATTGCGATCGTGATTTTCAAAAGTATTAAATCGCTTTGTAAACGTTTATTATTACCATTTCATGAGTCTCCCTATACAGTTGAATAGAGCGATTGGACCCAGAAGCCGCTTCACGTGATGTCACACTTAACAAGAGGATTGGAATTTTCATTCAAAAATGGCCACTGCGCCATCTAGTGGCTGTTTCACAAATCGCACTAGAGTGTCGCCTCTTGGTGATTCTATGCTCTTTGTTTAACATATCATAATATAACATAACATAACATATTTAAAATTCACTGACAAAAACTGAAAGGTTCCCATTTATGTAAGGCCCTATGAAATAAATATTTTCCAAATTCTGTTTTACTAATTTTCCAAATTGCATTTTTTTTTATCTTTAAATGTTTATTGGTTAAAATAAATTTAAGCAATCATTCAACATGTCCAATTACTTAAAAAACATGAAACTTATTCAATATTTTTTTTCAAAGATTATTACTCACAATTATTTATTTATTATTTATTCATTACAAAAAAAGATTATTTATGAATCTAGTTAAATAAATAAATGATGTTTTCAGCAATTCAGTTGAATTTCTGTTGAAACTAATACGTGGAAAAACAACTGGGTCAATTATACGTTTAATCATTGATCAGCCCTCTCTACTGTACAATAGTATTGAGTAGTAAAATAGTAAGTAATCAAACCAGACTTTTATTTTGACAGGTATTCGTGAAGACACTTAGGTTTCTGTGTTTTACTGATATTTCTTCTTTTTATTTTTTTCAGGTTAGTCCCTTTATTAATCCGGGGTCGCCACAGCAGAATGAACCGCCAGCTTATCCAGTATATGTTTTAAGCAGTGGATGCCCTTTGAGCAGCAACCCATCTCTGGGAAACATCCACACACACTCATACAATACAGACAATTTAGCCAACCCAATTCATCTGTACCGCATGTCTTTGGACTGTGAGGGAAAACGGAGCACTCGGAGAAAACCCACAGGAATGCAGGGAGAACATGCAAACTCTACACAGAAACATCAACTGACCCAGCCGAGGCTTGAACCAGCCACCTTCTTGCTGTGAGGCGACAGCACTCCTTACTGCTTTGCCTTATTTTCCTGATATGATGATAGTTTATCAGAATAAAACGGTAAAATCAGATGAAGTGACTCTAAAATAGGCAATAAATCTGTGTGTAGTAAAACTAAACTTAATTCCAGACACTCCGTTCATGCAGACTTCATATTTAAATCACCTTTCTGCAGTTTAATAATCAACATTTGAAGAGACAGTTCACCCAAAAATGAAAATTCTGTCATCATTCACTCATCCTCTACTTGTTTCGAACCGGCTTGAGTTTCTTTCTTCTGTTGAACACAAAGGAAGATATTTTGTTGAATGTTGGAGAAAAAACACCCATTGCTTTCCATAATATTTTTGTTTTTTTCCAACATTCTTCAGAATATCTTCATTTGGGTGAACAATCCCTTTCATTATTTTAGATGCAAAGCTATATTTAGATTTACCAAAAGTAAATTCTGTTTTTGCAATGAAAAAAAACATTCAATCAACTTAATTTACCACCGTTTTCAGTCATTAATTAAGTTGAAATAACTTAATTCATTCAGGCGTAACAAGGTTTTTAAGGTGATCCAATGTTTTGCTTGTTTTTAGTGAGTGTATGATCATAAACCCTAGAAATGTCTGAAAATATCTCATCGTTGCATTATCCATCCATGGTCATCCAGACATACCTTCACCCTGTTGAATATAAAATGACGTGGCATGCTCACATTTCCGCAGTTCAGGAGTTCACTGACTTTGATTATAAGTTTGTTTTGTAGGCATAAGACGGACAAAGTCATCAAAAAACCGAAGCTGTCCATCCATTTGTGTTGCAGAAAGATCATTATGTAGAGCTAGATGACATGATCCAGCATTTGCATGGACTCCATGATGGCCTCGTCCTGCGCACAAAATTAATAAAACACAAAAGATATTAAACAGCAGCTCTCATTTATTCACTTAAAGAGCCCCTATTATGGGTTTTTGAAAATAAGCTTCCATGCAGTGTGTAACACAGCGAATGAAAACATCCAGCTAGATGAGGATTAAATCTAAAAGTGCAGCATGTTTAAAACTATTGATTCTGTAGCGAAATATTTGACTCAGAGTTGAATAAATGAATCGAGTTGGGTTCGGATCTTTTGTTGGATCGAATTGACGTCGATACAGTACAGGCCTGGATATGGGTGCTTTCACACCTGTGAATCGATTCATTTGCTCCGAAACAGGGATTAAAATTGTTACAGTGTTGCTCTTTGTTCTTGGTGCGGTTCGCTTTCACACTGCAAAGTTTCTGCAAAGTCATGTGTGAGTAAACTCTCCTCACACTGGTCAGAGTTTCACGGTTTAGCTGTCGGGGGGTGGTGGTTTGGTGGTGTTTGACAGGGTGCGCGCAACATGTCTGAAGAACATGGAGGGATGCGGTGGGGAGGGGTGAGAAGGGTGCGCAACGTATTTGAGGACCGTGAGGGAGACACGCGATTACCGGGAGATTATCATGTGGTGTTCAGGTCGTAATTAATTGGTTCAGGTGTGTTTGATATGGGTAGCAATTGAAATCTGCAGGAAGGTGGCTCTCCAGGAACAAGGTCGGCCACCCCTGTGCTATGATGTTGATTTGAATTTAGAGTTTTGATTGTGTTTTTGTTCTTGCTGTTGGTCGCTGTTGCTGTTTTGTCTGTGAGGATCCCCTGATCTCTGGTGTCAGAACTCCCCTGGGAATCAAGGAGTTTAGATATCACGTGACACACACCTCGCATCGCGCAGATAACTCCACTGTCTGAACACACTAGTTTGGAAATGAGCGCCACCCTCTGTAAGTTTTCTCTGTCTTTTTGGTTAGAAGAGCAGTTTTAGTTTTAGCGTGAAAGCGCTGAAGTTGTTTTGATTGTTTATTTTCTATTAGATAGTTTCAAGGGAAAAATTCAGCTAGATTTAGGGGTTTTGATATGTTGCTTTCATTAATTTGCCGCCACTTAATTCTTGTTTCCTCCATCCATAATATTCATTCATTCATTTTCTTGTCGGCTTAGTCCCTTTATTAATCCGGGGTCGCCACAGCGGAATGAACCGCCAACTTATCCAGCAAGTTTTTACGCAGCGGATGCCCTTCCAGCCGCAACCTATCTCTGGGAAACACCCACACACACATTCACACACACTCATACACTATGGACAATTTAGCCTACCCAATTCACCTGTACCGCATGTCTTTGGACTGTGGGGGAAACCGGAGCACCCGGAGGAAACCCACGCGAACACAGGGAGAACATGCAAACTCCACACAAAAACGCCAACTGAGCCGAGGCTCGAACCAGTGCCCCAGCAACCTTCTTGCTGTGAGGCGACAGCACTAGCTACTACGCCACTGCTTCGCCCCTCCATCCATAATATACTTTGATTTATTTATTTGTGAGATCCTGTATATATTTTTGCTGTTTAACTTCTCACTTTTGTAAGTGAATTCACTTATTTTTTCAGTATTTTGGTCGTCGTTTTGCTATTTTGCCACCAACTCACCACAAAATTTAATCATATCAAATGTTACCTCTTTTAACCCCTAGAGCCAAACTTGAAAGTCGTAACACTCATTAAGAGAATAAGCACAGCCCTGTTAGACCATGCACCGGGGCACAGAACATATTTTTCCGTCCTTAAAATAGCAAAAGAGACAGATACGCCCTTAATGTGTTTGCATCATACGCTTTAGACTTTGCGTCTAGATCATTCAAATACAGCCCAAAGTGTTGTTTCAGCTCATTTCAAATAGGTAGTTTTTCTTTTAAATGTAAGTTATGCCTTAAGCATCGTTATCATCCTATAATAAAGTCTCAGGTTACAGTCTAAAAAGAGGTCACAGCATTTTTATTTAATAAGCATAAAATATGTAGGAGTCATAATTAGCTTTTGCTGTCGTGCTTGTACCTTTTGACAGGACTCCAGAAACTCCTCCATCGTGATCACGCCGTCATTGTTGCGATCCATTTTCTGCAAACAGGAAAAACACAACAATCCATAAATCATTCCCTTGAAATTCACCAACAAAGATGTGTGGTGAGCGTTTATAATAATCATTATCATAATCATAAAAATATATTTTAATATGATTAAAATAATAATAAAGATTTTAAAAATATATAAATTAAGAGAATATACAATTTGTAGTTATATATTAGCTCTCATTTGTGAATACATTTTCTAGAAATGTGATTATTTAACATTATTTAATATAATTATTTATTATAATTAGTATTAGTATTATTATACAGTTAACATTAAAATAAGAATTAATCCCTATTGCATAATGTCAAGCATTTAAAATATTAATAATATTAATAGCTACTAAAAATAATAATAATAATACAATTATTAATAAAATTAAATATATACCTTTTGTAGTTACATTAACACTCATTATAATAATAATAATAATAATAATTCATTTATTCATTCATTTTCTTTTCGGCTTAGTTTTATTAATCCGGCGTTGCCACAGCGAAATGAACCACCAACTTACTTATCCAGCACATGTTTTACGCAGCGGATGCCCTTCCAGCTGCAACCCATCTCTGGGAAACATCCATACACACTCATACAATACGGACAATTTAGCCTACCCAATTCACCTGTACCGCATGTCTTTGGACTGTGGGGAAAACCGGAGCACCCGGTGAAAACCCATAAGCAGGGAGAACAAGCAAACTTCCCACAGAAACGCCAACTGACTGAGCCGAGGCTCGATATCAATATTAATACCAATAATAATAACAAAATGAATAATAATAATATTAATAACAACAACAACAATAATTATAATAATAACAATAATATTAATAACAATAATAATAATAAGAAGAAGAATACCAATAATAATAACAATAATAATAATCATAATAAAAATAATAATAATAACAATATAATAATGATGATAGTAATTGTATTAATATTAATACTAATAATGGTGATAATAATAATAATAATAATAATAAATTGTGATGATAATAATAATAATAATAATGGTGATAATAATAATAATAATAAATTGTGATGATAATAATAATAATAATAATAATGGTGATAATAATAATAATAATAATAGTGATGATAGTAATAATAATGATGATTAGTATTATTACTGCTACTACTATTAATATGTACACCTATTTTATTTTTTGGAATAAAGTAAATTAATCAAAACAAAAATTTGTGATTATATTATTTTGGAATAAATATAACAAACAAAACAATCATAATAGAAATAATCAATAATCAATTGCAATTAAAAATGTATAAAAATATAAACGCTTTGTTTGATCATCTCTCAGCATTTCCAGCTTCAACTCTCTTGCGTTAAAGAAATGATTCGCAAAATACCTGAAAGAAGCTCTCCACGTGTTCTCTGGGCGCGCTGTCGTTCATGCACGGACACGTATTCTTCCCCATCATATCATAAATGGATTTCATAATATCATTCATCTCCTAAAACAGACCGAATAACAGCATGAGCACATCCGCAAAGGCGCAGACACACACTCTAAACAATATCTGTTAATGAACAGTTTACGTATCTTGTGATTCACAAGTGTTTATTTATGATTGTGAATTGCAATATGAGATGTTGATCTCTGCTCTGTCCACTTTTTAAGTTGAAAATTCAACTCTATCATTTAAAGTGACTATTTTTGATGTATAATATAATATATAATAAATAATATATAGAGACATAAGTCTGCAGAATAAGGTGCTGCAGTTTATTGTAGTGTAATATACAACACCAACCCAGACAATATAGCACGGCACACTATTACCAATGTTTATAAAGGTCACTATTTTGAACTTTTCAAGCTTAAAAGTAGCTGGAGGAAAGATCATGCTCCCATGATGCAATTTAAAAGCAGAAATAAACAAGGAAATTAAAAAAATATGAATTACAAAATGTGGAAAACGGCTACTTTACAAATATTTCTTACCGTACGTTAACACCGAATGCGGCGAGAGCGTCAAAGTAGCCGAAAGTCATGCATTTTCAATGCAGTCAGAAAGGAGGCTGCGTCCTAAACCGCATACTTCCATACTATATAGTACACTAAAATCAGTATGCGAGACAAGTAGTATGTCCGAATTCATAGAATTCGAAAATCAGTATGCGAGAAGTACCCGCATGACTTACTACTTCCGGCGAGATTCTTGAGTGCGCATCCCATGCATGCTGCGCTATCCCTTGATGCCCCGCGAGCGAATTCATGAATGCGACGCAACTGACACAAGTAGGTAACATGACCATGACAAAATGGCGGATGTAGTACGTGCGAATTCCATTCATACTTTTCACATTCATACTGGCTGTTTCTCAATATGCGTTCTTCAGCGGTCTTGCGTCCTCGTGTTCTCGTGCAACGTCATCATCAGCTGCCTAAAGCCTGGTTTATACTTCTGCGCCAGGTGACCGGCGTAACTCACGGCGCATGCAACGCGCGTAGCTGTGCATTTATACTTCTGCGCGCTGTCTCTGTTGGTCTGCATTAACACTTCCGAAACACTAGTTGGCAGTGAGGTGTAAATGTTCCTCTGTGTAGAGTTTCTTCACTGCTTTTTTGCTTTACATGAACACTTCCTGGTTGTACAAGTGGCTCAAACTCGCTCATTTTGAGGCAGGAACCGGCGACGTGCAACAACTTTAACTATGAGGTAAACACAAAACAAAACTTTCCATCCGGAGCTCCTTCACTCCAGACTTGTAAACAATCGCTCGCGCCATTCGCGCGGCTCTTGGTCCCGCCCAGACTTGTCAGCGCTACCAAGCCGACCAATCACAGAGCTTACGCTACGCGTTGTTGCGACGTGTAGTTACATTTTTTGAGAGGTGCATGTCAGTGACGGCGACGGCCACAGCGAAGGGCTATGTGTCAGCGCCGTAGCATACGCCGGCGTTTGACGCAGAAGTATAAATCAGCCTTAAGTTCAGTTCCAATACTCAAGACCGCAAGTACGGAGGACGCGTGAAACTTCCCGGATGTGATCTTGATATCGAGGATGCCACCATGCAGACTTGAGCACCGAACTCGCTCTGGAAGTCCCAGAAGTCATTGCGACTGGAGGTGGGAAGCACGGCATTTTATTTAGATTTATTATTAAAGTTCAGAAATATCACTTATTTATCTCAGTAGTTTCCCTAAATGAAACGGTGAAAGTAAACATTACCATGAATATCTTAATAAAGGAATAAACACATTAAGGGTGTTTGTTTGCTGAAATTCGTATTAAATATTTATATTGTGTAACATATATTTCTAATGTTTTTATGCAAAGTATATATTTTGAAGAGGGGGAAAACAACAAATCGTTGTATAAAGGCTGTAATATTTAAATAATTTCCATTTAAAACGTGTGAACGTCATGTGACCATCAGGAAGAACACAGCATCCCATTTCTCAAAGAACACGTTCTCTGCCCTCGCGGTCTCCTGAGTTCGTTCTTCCAAGGACACCTGGCAAGACCGGTCTCCACAAGAATGCAAGTCCGTTCTCTACGTTCTTGGAAATGAGAAACAGCCACTGTATAGAACGTACTTTTCTAACGGCCAAGTAGTACGTTTAAATTCAAATGCAGTACCTACTAAGTAGTAGGCGGTTTCGGAGGCAGCTGAAGTCCACCGCTTGAGAGCAGTTAAGAGAACACAGACCTGTGAATTTTGGTTCCGACCACAGTTGTTCCCAAGGGCTTGATTATTGGGGTCACCAGATTTTCAATTAATTACAATGTTTTCCTACAGGAATGTGCAGAAATTCGCGTGAGATTCCTTTTTTAAGATATATATATATATATATATATATATATATATATATATATATATATATATATATATATATATATATATATAAATCTTAAAAAAGGAATCTCACGCGACAGTACAAAACAGTATTTCTGCTTCAGGATATTTCAGACATATGGACACAGTGGATAATTAAGTGGAGCAAAGCCACACCACATGCAGCTCAATCTTCCATTGTTAAATGCGCAACATTTTCCCGCTAGCCAGCATGTTTTATGCAGGAATGTAGCTGATCTGATTTGCTGCAACGGCCCCTTTAAATACGAGATCAATGTAGCGAATTTTGACGCTCTCGCTGCCGGAGCTGAAGGCAGACAGCGTTGTCACCAGGGCGGCCAGAGCGACCTTGAACACTTTCACCGCATTCGGTGCATTGGCATTACACTGCAGCTAATAGCATTAGTGTCGGCGTAAACACCTTTACCTCTTTAGTGATGCAGCCGTCTTTATTGAGATCGTACAAACTGAAGGCCCAGGATAGTCTGTCGGTGACTGTGCCGCGCAAAATGATCGACAGGCCCACCACAAAGTCCTAAGGCCAAACAGAAATGAGAGACTGGCGAGTCTGTGATGTAAACATATTCATTAAATGATGCTTATGATTTTGAATTCAAATATAGGAAACTACATTAAAGAGCCTTCATTATACATGCAAAAGGGTCCTATTTTGGTTTTAAGGGTCTCCAACAACCGGCTGAAAAGGCCCGTGCACACAGAGAAGCTTTTTGCTTGTGTTTTCCAAAGACCGCCTAACGCCTTGTGACTAAATAAAGGGCGCCAATGTGATCATGCACAACAATGCGCAAAACGCCAGGCGTAGAAACGTCATTTTTAAAGAAACGCCTCATGCTCTTTTTTTTGTTTTGATGCGCCGCGTCAAAACCTTCTCCACCAATCAGATTGGCACTTTTGTTCACGTGCACGGAGCTGCTAAAGTAAACAGCACTAGGAGGCGCTCAAGCACAAAACTGTCAATGTGAGCGCACATTGAAGAGGATGCCCAGAGGTGATATGAACGTGAAGCTGCTTATTGCTCCTGTGAACAATAATCAATTCTTCATCGATACAGCTGGAGCTGGTGCTTGAACCATCCATGCGTGTTCGAGTCACCAGTAACTTTAACAACAAGCGTGTGAACTTCCCTTCATCCTCTTCTTCTGTGTTATAAGCGGGCTGTCAGAAGCTTAAAGTTGTGTAGCGCCATCTAACATCAAGGAGTGATTTTTGCATACTCTTTTGCTCGACGCCAGTTAAAAATTGATTGGGTTTGAATCAAGAAAAATGTCTCGTAAAACACTGACGATAATCGCAAAGGAAAATCGTCCCAGTGTGTACGACCCTATATGCTTGCAAAGTCAAAAAACACTTTCATTGTCTTATAATCTGCATTTATTTTTACATAATTATCCCAGCGACTCCCATATGATTTGTTAAATGCTTCATTTGTTCCCAAACCCCTCCTTAGCACAAAGCTAATCTCCCGTATTTCAGACCCATCTCCCGCCACTCTCCTGTTTTGTTACTTATCGGGTCCTCAGCATTTTGGTGTGTTCTGTGAAACCCCTGGAAAACCAACTTTGGTATAGGATCCGGCTGCAACGGCTGCCCGAAACACGCTTCATAGTAATCAAATCAAACCAAATCAGGCCTTTATTTGTCACATACACTTTAGTAGAGTGAAATTGAACCTATGAAGCATATGTTTATACACTCTCAGAAGAAAAAAGGTAGGCGTCCTTTCTAATACCTCAAGGGTACATATTAGTACCTCAAAAGTACAAAAGTGTTCCTCTTAAACATTTTAGGTACCAATATAAACCCAAATTTATCTTTTAGCACACAAAATAAGAATTTCTTAGCCACAATTTTGACAAAAGTGTCAAACAGGGAAATACAGCTGTATAGGTGCACTTTTTAATTCAACAAAACTTTCATTTAAAAAAAGAATTATTGTCATGTATCTAAAATATGCACAGTAATCTGTCCTAGCTAAAAGTCCCAGATCAGCGGTTACCTACACATAAACGGAAAGTAATCTCCCTTTAAAGCAATGTAATTGTAAAAATATGATTAAACCATATTAACAAATATAATAATATATTATTATTTTAATATAGGCCTATAGGTTTATATAGGCCTGTTTATCTGTTCAAAGAATAATTAAAATGAAAGCAGTGACCGCTGCTGCTTACAAAAGAATATGTGTTTTATTTTTTACATTTTGAGCTCTTGAAAGCAGCAGGATTGTGGGTGCGTGATCATCTCTCTTTGTCCAGTATTTACCTACTTTTTTGCTGTTTTTCTCGGCGAACAGTTATTTTTGTCAGTCCTGCTGCTTCTCGATTCTAAGATCACATTTGCAAGAATATTGGGCCATGCTTATTGTCCAACTCAAGCTCATTCTGAAAACGTAGCACCGCGGACATTTCTGGAGACGTATGGCTGCATATTGTTTTTTCAAGCGAACGCTACGGGGCGGTGTGACGCCGCTCCTCTTCGCGCTCGACTGCTGACGGCTCACCTCCACCATTTGGAGGGCTTTCCCGCTGCAACCAGTTT